GAGAAAGGAGAGACAGAGGGACAGTTCTTTTTAAGTTGCGGATGGGATTTTCCCTCAGTCTTTCAGTCACTTGAACGTCCTTCCTTCCTGCAAAAATCCACTTTCTTCTGATCGGTACCTTTGCTGAAAAAAGGTGGCAGCTGCTAAACCTTTCTCCCACTTCTGTGTATCTCATCTGAGCCCTCGTTGAGCTCCTCCGCAGCAGAACAGTTCTCCCTTCTTTTCACCCCTCAAAGTTAATTTTAATCGTTGGTGAGAGCTGCAGGATCCGCCGAGAGCCTCTCTTTCTCCCTTCTCTTCAGGGGTCAGTATTTTTATGTCTGCATCTGTAACTTTCACTCCATGCATCTGAAGAAGTGAGATTTTTACTCACAAAAGCTTATGCTCAAATAAATCTGTTAGTCTTTAAGGTGCTACTGGACTCCTTGTTCTTTCTCCATAGACACCACCCAGCATAGATAGCAGCAGGGCAAGTTAGCCCTTTCTCAGTCAACGCCATATCTGGAGAAAGAAAGCATCTTTCTCGCCACACCTGATCAGTCCTTAGCCTCACTCTGCATCTGCCGACAAAGGTTTTGATGGTGGGCTTGTTGAGGATGGGTGTCTGCATCACTGGGAACGGACTGAAGTCATCAACTCCTTTCACACCCAGTTGCCTCTTGGGCACAGTTGGCCTTGGTTCTCTTTCCTTCCCTATGTTGGTGTTTGGTTTTTGCAGGCAGTATACAAAGGGTTTAGCAGCATGTTGTTTATTTGCCCCCCAGTTTACCGAGTGGGAGGAGGGAAGTTATTTCAAGTATATGATCCACATCACCCTGGATGAGTGACCCGTCCTCTTCGTTATTTACCACTCCCCCAAGTTTTGTGTCATCAGCCATCTTTGTCAGTGATGTTTGTTTTCTTCCAGTCATTGATAAAAATGTTAAATAGCACAGGGCCAAAAACCGATCCCTGTGGGGTCCCACTGGAAACACACCCCATTCGCAGTTACATTTTAAGACCCATCAGTCAGTTTTTAATCCATTTAAGGTGTACCAGGTTAATTTTATATTCTAGTTTTTTAATAACAATGTTGTGTGGTATTAAGTCGAACACCTTACAGAAATCTAAATCTGTTATATTAACGCTATTACCATTATCAACCAAACTTGTAATCTCATGAAAAAAATATCCAGTTAGTTTGAGAGGATCTGTTGCCCATAAATCCATGCTGATTGGCATTAAGTACATTGTCCTCCTTTAATTCTTCATTAATCGAGTCCTGAATCAGCCACTCCATTATCTTGCCAGTGATCAGTATCAGGCTGACAGGCCTACAATTATCTGGGTCATCGAACAGGGGCTCCTGCAGATCCCCAATTCACACAGGTAGATGGAGAAGTCAGAACTCTGAGTGCTTTCAACTCCCACTCCAAGTCTTTACTGCTGTTAGAAATGGCCTAAAAAGTGATGATGCACTAAATAAAGCACAGATTTTCCTCCATCCTCCTGAGTTTTTTTTTTTTTTAAACCTCTCATTAGTTTTACTCGGTTATCTCATTGTGTCTGTGTGAGATGTTTTAGTTGGGGATTGGTCCTGCTTTGAGCAGGGGGTTGGACTAGATGACCTCCTGAGGTCCCTTCCAACCCTGATATTCTATGATTCTGCAGTAACAGGTCTGGCCAAGGTCAGCTTTCACAGAATGTGAGTGTTTCCTGTTTTGTGTTTGAGTGTGTTGCACAATCACACAGACTTTTCTGGGAAGAAATCTCTTTGCTTTTGAGGTCAAACACAGATGAGGTTTGTAAGGCTCTGCCACCCCCAAAATAAACACTAAAGGGTAGGGAAGGGAACAAATGCTTTTAGGTTAACACATGCTCTGCAGTTTGCATTGAAACAGGTTTCTGCTTCGCCTTTCTCTTGTTTTGCCAGGGTGATTTGGGCCCTGGTCATGGAATCTGATCCCAGTGCTCATGCAGACCCAATCACAGACAACTGGTGTATTCATTGGTTCTTGCTAAATTCATGCTTCCTTTAAAAAATTAGATTTATCCTTGACCCTCTTCTTATCCTATGTCTAGTTATTGAGAATTAAGTTGCATGAAAAATGTTTAAACCCATGAGGTTATGGAAAATATTGTGAAATAAGGAAATTAACTGCATTGTTCCAAACTTCCTGCATTGTTGATTTTTGTTCCTTTGAATGTTAGGAATTCTGCTGTCTCCGATTTAGAAGACAGCAATGTCTTACTCTCCTGAACAGTTCATCAGCATTTGCTAATCTGGCACTGCAGGGTGTTGCATCCGATTGATTCAATTTATGGATCTTTGTCCTTTTTAGTCCATATCAGATTGTGGCACTTACTTGAAGTCCCCCTCTGTGCACACCCTTCCAGTATTTCATGGAAAATGTTTACACTTCCCCATGTTTTTTTTCATCCACTCATCACATATTCTGTAGGACACCTGATCCTACCCCAGTCCATCTTAGACAGACTCCCGCGGAAAATCTGGGAAATGCTGAGAGGAAGAAAAGATTTGTAACGTTTTGCTAAGGAAAAGTCCTTTCTAAAAGAAGAGTGCCTCATCAGGGTATCTTCTAATTGCCGGGTTAATGGAATTGAAAGCACCCTGATTAAATTGCAGTAGAACGATGATAGCAAATATGTGATTAGCATTAATAACATCAGTCGGAATATAATATGCAAACGAGGGGATAATAGTTTAATTATTCATCTTCAACCTTTATTTTTTTTAAAGTCACTTTACTCATCAAGTTTCTCATTGCCAGCTCTGGTGGTTTAGTGTATGCTAGTTTATATTGCTGCTCTCTGAATTGAAGAACCAAAGCCAGGTTGCCACTGTCCTGTCTCAGATAGAACGAACACCCTGATGTCCCATGCTTTGAACAGCGATCCCTTTCTTGACGCTTTACGTTCTTCCAGCCTTTGCTTTGCGAGTACCTGGCCATCCGTTTTGTCTCTAGGGTTAAACCCTTTAATGAATCCAGGACCTGAAAACTGCAGGAAAAGAAGTTGCAATTTCTAGGGAAACGAGTAGCACTGAAAGGAGCTGAAATTTACAATGTGTGTTAATCTCTGTTCCAAGGGGAGACATACTGAAATCTAACACATTCTCCAATCTTTCCTCCCCTCTCCTCTATAGGCTTTCTGTGACCTTTTCTAAGCTGGAAATGTTGTCACTAAATTCTGTAGCAAGCAGAAAGTTGGATTTAAACAGCATATATATGGTGGAGTTGTTGTGCCAATGAGACCTACTGAAATTCAGTTCTTTACTGCCACATATAGTCTTCTAGTTGAGCGTATGGAGGTCAGCAGTGACATCTGGTGGCCTGTCGGGTTAACCTCAGCTGTGAATTTGCTATCTGTCTCTTGGTGTGTCTTTTGAATCACAATTTTGCCGTCTCACAGGGACGTGTTTCCCCGGCCTATGGTATTGCAAGTTCCTACAGTCTATGGGAGAGTCCATTTGGACTTACTGCAAATCTAACACTGACCTGGAAACGTGATATTGTGTCTGACTGGTTCAATGAATTGCCTTCTTGGACAGTGTCTTTGTGTAGGAGCCCCTTTCCTGGACCAGGACTCCATTGTGTTTGTACAGCACCTACCACATTTATTTTGTTTTTATATGGGCACATTGTCTCCGTCCCCCATCTATGTATAGTTTAAAAACCAGAAAGCTGTATCCTCAAAATATTCTCAATACTGTTAAAGGTGTGATCGTACTCTGGAAACGATTCAATCAAGTTACATCGTATGGTCCTTATTTATTCTTTCCCTCAATTCCAAGGAAATATGCTCAGTTCTGAGTTCGTTTTTTTCCCTCTCCCTAATTGCCAGTGCTGCAAACTCAGGCCTCAATTGAGAAAAGCCTCCTTTTTCAGAAATGCACTTAAATACATGCTTAAGTTCCATTGCAGTTAATGGGCATAAACAGATGCTTACAGCTCAGCATGTGTTTTTTGTGCTCTCCTGAATGGGGCCCTAGATCTGAGGCCCCAATCCTTCAAAACATGAACCTCAAAGTGCTCCCAGGCTTTGCTGAATCAGGGTCTGAAAGTCCAGCTTGAATGTTTTCTGCCTGTATCCCTGATGTGCAGTGCAAGGTTCCCTGTGCAGTTTTGACTGTGCATGAGCCAGAATACAATGCAGCTCACTCCTCTGTAGTTATATTGGCTCAGCAGTGCTGACGGCAGCATACATTTTGTCAGCAGAGTAAGGTACTGTGTGGTTATCGGTTTTTCTCACTGTAACTACACTTGAATTATGTTGATACATTTTTTTCTTTAAAAAAAAAAGTGGCATTTGGAGTTTGTTTTGAAACCAAAAATCTTGTACGCAATTTAAAAACACCAAACTGTCTTTAATGAGAAGCCGGTGTATATTCACGAGTATATGGGCATGAAATTAACATCTTTGTTTTTAAAATCCCGTTCCCTGCTTCTTTTTCACTGCCAGATCCATCCCTGTATATTGAGTGCAGCCAATGCAGAAACTTCTGCAGAATGCATTAGGTTTGCAGATGAAGGATGGAGTCGAAATTCCAGTTCTTGCAAACCCACAAAAAGTCTTTAAACTGCCGCTTTGTGGAATCTGCCTTATGAAACCTGACAGTTTGTGAAATCTGCCTGGTTTAGTTTTTAACTACATAAAGTTTTTAACTCAGGCCCGGTTTGTGGAAAGACATGCTGAAAGTCATCAGGCTTCCCAGCGAGCTTGGTTCTGTCTTCTTGGTTTGTAGCAAAACCCTGCAAAGCTTGATGGCTTCCGTTTGAGTTGGTTTGAATTCAAAACTCTGGGAGGTGTGAACCAAGCCCAAAAGAAACTTTTGCATGAAACCCTGAGAATCAAACACACTGAGCAGTGCCCAGATCTGCCTTTAAAACCTCTGCAGATTCCAAAGTTGTCTTTGAGCATTGGGTGGGGGGGGAATGTAGAGAGAGGAAGACTCACTCGCACACAGAAACAATGTTAAATTTCCCTCTAATCCATTTCAGGGCATCAGTGAACCTCCCCATGCCGCCTTGTCTAGGAGCTACGATCCGAGAGCGGTGAAAGAGAAGTATGACCCCGAGCCGACTTATCACCAGGACTACGGGAATGAGCTCTCCATCCGGATAGGTAGAACTGGGCTTCATTCAGGCAAGCATCCTGTCATATACCAACAGCAGAGTTAGAAGAACTGGATTAAATTGGCTCATAGACCATAATACTATATGCTCAAAATTTAATCAACTTCGGTACACATACACACTTTCTCCCTCTCTCTTTCTTGGTGCAGGCTGGCGTCTGGCCCAAGAATCATTGCTTCTGTTTCTCCTTCAGTTCTCAAAACCACTTGCATGAATTATTAATAATTAGACATCTAATTTGACAGTGAAATGAAATTCACTTACCTTGAGATAACAGTTTTTCAGCTGAGAAGGAGTGAGCGGCTGGGTCACTTTTGCCTCCCAATGCTGAATTGTATGCACCTGTGACCCTGGTGATGGCTTGCTGTAATTATGGGCCATGACTGATGGTCACTTTGTGGCTCCTTATTTTGGAGGATAATAGAACTGGTAGCTGTTAGAATGTGGAATAAAAATGTCCTGTCTTGGGGAATATTTGTTTCCTTTTAACAGTTTTTAAAAAAACAGTGGGAACTTCTGATCTAATTTTGTAATCTGAAAGCATGCTAAAGCTTCCCACTTTTAGGTGCGTGTGTTCAGTGCTTGTACGGCCCTGTGACGAAGATCAAGTGTTGCACCCATACCATAGCTGATGTGTCTTCTACGGGGGTCTAGATCCTTCCCTTGTGGGAAGACGAACTTGCTCTAATAGGATTTTCCTTCTCTAGCTATGTGAGTCTGCACCAGGCAGAAAAATGTAGTTTGGTAAATGGCTAGTGAAAAATAGCCTTACTGCTCTGGTATTTTTCTTGAGTATCTGGAACACTAGATGCTACCCCGATTTCTCCCCTCCACGTATGGAGATGGGAGCACATCAAATAAAGAAGTGAGCCTTTCTGCGAAGAATTGCCTTAGCTTCTTGGGCGGGGTTTTATTCTTTATTATATAGTTGCATTCTTTATGAAAACCTGTTTTGAACCAGAATGCTTTTAACTTTTTAAAATTTTAGACAGGGGTTTTGAAAGGAGCCTAAGGGGGTTAGCTGTCCAGTTACCAGGGGATTTAGATGCATCATGTCTTTAAGCTCCTTTAACAAGTCCAGACTGAAACCCCAGCTGATAATTCTATTATTTTGGAGCATTTTGCATGCTGGCAATTGTATGTCCTAAATGTAATGTAATTTCACTCTTAAAATAATCGTGCATTTTTCTGTAAGTTCAGAGCTACTCTGTTTTGGGCATGCATCTGCTCTGGGTTGCAAATGAAAACTGTGGAAGTCGTTTTGAGAACAGAAGCTTTCCATTATGTACTGTTGGTTTGCTCTCTCTGGGGAAATTTTTAAAAAAATGACAACAAATCAATACCCTTTTATTCTCTTCAGTGATATTTTTCTTAGTTTTTTGCTTGTTGGGATGAACTTGCTATTTTCACAAGACACAGCGTGATTGCCAAGAAGACCGATGGCAAATAGAGACAGACGGTAACTTGTTAATTAGCAGCTTTCACTAGGCCCATCAAGAATTTACTAGCTGTGTTCTCGTGAAAATTCTCAGGGCATGTAATGGGTATTTTATTAATCTAAATAGTAGTACTTGCTAATGTAAATTTTGACATTAGTCACTGTGGAATTATTAATTTAACTTTAACTTTAAAAATCCCAAAAAGTAAGCTTAAAAAAATCCAGCACCTCTGCCAGGGCTTTGGAGGGGAGCCCAGAGCTGGAGCGCGGAGCAGCTCCGGAGCAATGGAGCTGCAGGTTTTTGCCTGGAGTGGGAGCGGAGCCGGAGCGCAGCTCCAAAGCCCTGCCTCTTGCATTGTTCTGCAGTTGAGTGACTTAAAAGGCGTAAGGTGGTAGTGATGAGTGGAGAGGAGAGACTGATATTGACTTGATGGAAGAGGCATGAAAGTGCAAGGGTCTCCAATCCTACATAACTAGGGCCCTGATCCTGCAAAGACATGCACAGGCTTAACTTTACTGTCATGAGCGTAAGTGTTCACAGGATCAGGGCCCTAATTACCGCCCAGTCACACTTAGCCAATATAAATCTTCAAGTCAGTGAATCCACTCAGTAAATGGGAAGATTCACCCCAGATCTACATAAAAGAAGATGATGGGGGCTAAGGGTGGGGTGGGGGAGTCCAGTGAGCAGTTGACCTCGTGCTAGTAAAACAGGAGTCGATCCCCTACTTTTCAATAAGTTGGGGAGGCTGCTCCATTTCCTTCCTTGTCTGCTTGTTGCCTTCATGCCCCCTTGTCTACATGTTGTTCCCACTGGATGAAAGCGTGGCTGGAACGGGAGTGGATACCATCTGGACTGACCCCTAGTGAGCGCTCTGCAAATGTGGGATCTGGGTTTTACTTTGCCCCTCAAGTGTTGAACATCATCTTTCTCCTTATACAGACAGTGCTTTGTCCTTCCATCTTCAGGTATTAGGTGAAGCCGTTCTAGAAACCAGTTTGACAAGCTGCTGCCCATGGGAACAGAGCAGCGTTCATTTTTATGGGTGCAGTTGCAGAGGTCTTTACAAAACATTTATCCGTTACTTAAAGCAGCTTGAAAATACACGTGCTTCCTTTGGAGCAATTTTGCCTGTACGCCGTCTCAAGCAGATGTGTAAAGTGAAGTGCCGTGAAATGCACATCTTTAGTCTCGGCGTGTTAACGCAATGTGGGATATGCATGCAGGCTTAATAACTGCTAACAATGTATTAAAGTCAAGGCCAGATTCAGTCTCCAGACATGAGACTGGTGTAATTGCCTCTCCCCTCCCATCGCCAGGTGCACGGTCATGCTACAGAGCCTGTGTTAATGTTGGTCTGTATTCCTTGATGCTATGAAAAGCACTCCCCTAAAAGGTAAAATTCAGTCATGTGCAGAGGGGCCAGCCCAAGGGCCATGCAGCACTTGTGGCCTGTGTAAGCCTTCTGCATGGGTGTGCATTTCACCCACAGCAATTAGACTCTGGCCCAGCAGGAGTTGGGTGCACAGGGTCAGTTCAGGTTGTGTATGTGCCAAAATGCATTGCACCCGAAGCCCAGCCCTGGAATGTCCCTCCTGTGGCCTGGTTGCAGAGGAGGTTGTGGAGATGCACCTGTGTGGATTAGGAGAAGGGGCAGACTCAGAGCCGATACTCTGGTGGCATGGGCCCGCTTCTGAGTCTGGAACACAGTGCAGGCTGATTCCTAATTTAAATTTGCCATTTGCTTGCAAATAGTGTCCGTGCCTCTAATCTATGCTATTTACAATAGCACTTTGCTTAAAATAAAGCCAATGCAATGTAAAATCCTCTCTCTTAGGATCCGCTGTTATGCCTAAAATCAAATAGTTGTTAGATTTACCGTTTTGGAAATGACGTGCCCATAGGATCTGATCTTCAGATTGTCTGATACTACCCCACTTTTCCACTGTTTGGTTCCCACTGCAGGCCAGGCAGCTATTGCTGAACCATGAGCCCTTGTGGATTTCCAAGGGTGATGCATCTCTGGGGCTTCAGCAGCTTCCTTAATTTACTGGTTTGTGGCATGAATCAGATGGTCCTAAACAGAAAGTTCTTGCCAAGATTTTTAGCCTGATGCTTGGTGCTTGAAACCTTTTAGGTTAGTTCTCTTAATTGATTTTCTTGATGTAGAAATCTTAATTCGAGGGCATGGAAGGGTTCAAGTCATTGAAGGGAAATACCCTTCCCTGTGCAAGGTTTTTGGAGAACAGAAAATAGCAGGCAGAGCCCCCTTGGCGGTGGGGTTGCCTGCGATTACAGAGAACCCCAGAAGCAGCGTAATGATCCAGCCCTGAGATGCTTGTTTGATTTCCCTCCTTCCAGGGTGGTTGAGTTCAGCCAAGTTCTCCTTGTTTTCCAGTCTGAGTAGCCGCCAGGCTCTGCTCGGTTCAGAGGTTGTGTTTCAGGTCCTCCCACCTCTGAATATCTTCATCCCAGTGGCCCTTTTTGGTCTCCTTCAAACCTCCTGAGCGAGGCTTTCCTCATTAGTCAGTGCACCGTGGGCCATTCCTTCCTTTTCAGCAGCAGCCCCTGTCTCGGATTGTGCTTTACTTGCGCTCGTTTTTGTCCTCAGAGTGACTTGATTTCCCCCTGAGTTGTTGGGCTCGTTTGAATGTCTGTTCTGTCATTTTAGAAACCCATATACGTGCAGTGGGAGCTCTTGGGAAACCATAAAACAGATAGTCTATTCCGGCAGCAGACTATTTTGCTGATGTCGGTCTTCTCCAGACATTTCCCTATAAAAGAACAAGCTATGTAAGCACACATGGACTTCGCAGCCCTCTTTTAATTCACAGGTCTATTCTACCTTCCCTACAAATACCCAGAGTCTGCACAGACGATTATTGTCAGGAACGCAAGTAACTTCAACATGGGCTGGTGCCTATGGACATCTCTGCAAAAACATGTAGACTATGCCCGCCAGGTAAGCCTGGCAGTGGAAATCCCCTCTATATGAGGGCCTGTGCAGTGCCCACTCAGCTGAGTTTGACATCAGGGTCAGGGTTCAGAGCCACTCCACCTACTGTCTTCTCGCTGTGGTTTCAGGATGCATAGGTATCCGGAGGCCAGAAGTTGACCCCTTACATCACAGCTGCATTTAGGCTTTGCTCTTGTTTAGGTCTCAAGAAGGATTTGCAGACAGTGGTGTGTCTGGAAACTTGAGCCGTGAATCATGGTTATTGAAACTGTATATTAACAGTATGAGGATGATGGTTCCCAGCGGTTCTCCAGCGCAGAATGATTCATGTCGCTCCAAATTAGACAGAAGAGAATGGGAGGGTGATGCTGCTCCCCAGCCAATCTTAGTCTTTCTTCCTCCTGCTTCAATTATTCCTGCTATAGCAGCATAAGTGAAGCATCCATCTCATCAAACAAAATGCTTTCTGGCTGGTTCCAGTTGCATTGTAACAAAGGCTCTTACACTGAAGTCGCTGAAGGGTCCAGAATTAAATGTTAACTATAATTTCGGCACTGGGAGCTCAGAGTGTTCCCCTGCCTTCAGAGAGGCACTGTTGGCTGGAGGGAATGTGAA